CAGCTCTGGGGTTCCCTCTTTAGACAACTTGCGTCATGTCAGCAAAGCAACTGCACTTGTATGATGTAATGACAGGCAACAGACACACACACACACGCACTCACGCGCACACACACACACACACACGTTGGCCTTCCTATAGTTGTGTGGAGACAGATATTGACATAATAATAATTTAATTTTTATCAGTCAAAGGTTTGACATGTAAATGTGAATGTAATGCATTCCCTCGCTCTTTAGGCTATGTTCACACTACTACTTTTTAATTTTAAAACTCATCATTTCTGTTTCTGTTCTGTGTTTACTCCTGCCATCCACACTACTCCAGAGTTGGAAATGCTGCTAGACCAGTTTTTTTTTTTTAAACTCTTGGGTTGTGTTTTATTTTGAAAATCCTGGGGTTGGGTTGTAGTAGGACGGACAGAAACTGAGACCTTTGGAAACAATGGCGTAGACACCCGAGGTCACTCTTGATTGGCTCTCATTGACTATCAGTGGTGAGTACAACATGATAATGAATTACAGTGTTACTGACCTTGCTGTCTTTGCTAGCAGCTGTTGTTCATTTTAATTCTGTATCTTAATGCTACAGTGGTTTATTTTGTGCAACTAATCGGACGGAGCCTTAGGCTCCCTGCCGTGATTCTTTTGAATAATCACTCAGTGAGTGATGCAGCACCAGAGAGGTCAGACAGCATGGACAGGAGGATTAGGTGGTGCACTGTGTCAGAGGTTGCTGACTGTGACATTGATCACTGACAGCAGTGCGACCTCAGAGGAAGGACTGGAAACCAGCCTGGTTTGGATCAAGTAGATGAGGGAGGAGGCTTTAACTTGTGCTGTAGCTGCATGTCATGACAGTGTGTTGTTAGTGCTGTTGAACAGAGGCACCCCGCCAGGAGAGGCAAACCAGGCAAATGCTTGGGGAGTCCCAAGGGGAAAAGGGGCCCCTGATGGCTATGATCCCAATTAAACCTCCCATAAAAACACTATACACTGCACTGCTGCTGTCCCCAACCCCCTTAGTGCGGCCTCTGATGTGTGCTGTAGCTAGCGTCTACCCGTTGCCTCCATATCAGGCGTATAGGGTTCTGCGCTTAGATGGGCTTTTTTGCCTGGTGCCCCATGATGCTAGACTCACCACTGGCATTGAAAAGTGGCGATTACAGTAGTATGAAACGGGAGCAATTTGCAGCTATGCTTACATGTGTTCTGCAGCTGAGCAGCTACCTTTCCAACCAGCCTGCAAACTGAGGTCCTCTGTGAATTTTTGTTTGGTGACTCAACAAGCTGAAGTGCAGAACAAGGAGGGAGTTAATGTTTGTAAGTTGGAGAAGAAGCACACCTCAGCAGGAACGCTGAGGTGGGTTGTTTTATTGTGAAGCTTCAGTCTGGCTCAGTGTGAGCGTCTGCTGTCTGTGACATGACCACTTTATGCAAATATGGTTTAACCCTCTGAGGTCTAAGGGGATTTTCTTTGATTTTTACATAATTTACCAAATTCACGTATTAAATGTACTTGCATATAACATAATACCCAAGTATTCTATCAGAACAATCTCAGTTCTATCTTCAATGAGCCCCCCTTTTGTCCTAGAGCATTCTGTAAAGAGATAATGTGGCCCATATTGTTCACATCTCTCATGAAAAAATACCTTTACTGACCTGGATGAATTGTTGTGGTGTTTGAGATGGTTTAGTAATACTGGGTACATCAAAATAATTGCATATATGAATAAAATAGTAAATTTATTTATAATAAATGTAATTTTGCAATATTGTTTTTAAGTGGAAGTGTTGTCTGTACTTCACCATTGTCACACTGTAAATAACCCACATTATAAGGCCAGTGCTCACCAACGGTTTCCTACTGAGCAGTGTTGGCAGCACTAGATTTGGTGACTTTTAAAACCCTTTAGCTACTTTTTTTTTTATAAAGGCAGCTGACCGTATTATCACAAAATTATTAATAGAAACATCACAAAGAAAAATCAACCTGTGAGGGTTATAAATATGGAACCACCTGAGAACCACATGTGGACACATATTCTGCATCAATGTACACAGAGGTGACAGTACTCTGACAAATGATTAAAAACTAGGGGGCGCCACCATGAAACAAAAAAAATTTCTCTCTCTTGGTTTCAGATGTATTCCTGAGAGGACAGGACAGGTGGTTGACGGAGCAGGTGTGTTTGCTGCAGCAGACACAAGCATGACGTTTAATTTCAGCAGCACTTTAAAAACTCTGGCTTCAGTATCAACGCAAACAGGATCAAACATACCTAAGAGAGCAAGGCACACATGAACATAATATTATAACACTATCTAGTTTTATATCATTTATTCCAAACGTGTAAAGTGATGGTTGGTGTGTGTGTGTGTGCGCGTGTGTGTGTGCGCGCGTGTGTGTGTGTGTGTGTCTGTGTGTGTGTGTGTGTGTGTGTGTGTGTACGAGTATGTTCAGTACATGTGTGTCCAGGTTCATAGTGTGTTAATACAATGTGGATCTTATTTTCAGAGGTTTGGTGATTAGTGATAATAACATTATACTCATTAGGTTAATGACTGAGATCTGGAAACAGTTACATCACATCAGTGAGACAGAGCAGTTAGACTGTTCCTTCAGCTGTGACCTGCTGTACCTCAGGTGAGACACATCAACGGCTCTTCAGTTTCACAGGCAGGTAAAAGCCACAGCTGTCAGTGTGGTTCACATTCGTCTCATCACTAATAAAAGATGGATGCCACTTGTTCCTCCACCTTACATTTGGATGCGTGTGAGTGTGTTGATGTCAGGATGAACCTGCTTCTGCCTCCACCTCTTTCCCTCTGCACAGCCTCATCAACAAAATGGATGGACAAACACTGTGTGTGTGTGTGTGTGTGTGTGTGTGTGTGTGTGTGTGTGTGTGTGTGTGTGTGTGTGTGTGTGTGTGTGTGTGTGTGCATGCGGGCGCACGTGCGTGCGTGTGTGTGCGCAGTCTGTCTGTCTGCATGGTGTTGCATCATTCTGGCTGGGCTGAAGGGCTGCTATGATGTAACTGGCAGTAATACCTCCAGACTGACAGAGGGAGAGAGAGAGAGAGAGAGAGAGACTGAGGAGAGAGATGTTGAGGAGAGAGGAGAGAGAGAGGAGGAGAGAGATGTTGAGGAGGGGGGGGGGGTACTGAGAAGAGCGGGAGATACTGAGGGGGAGTATTGAAGAGAGAGAGAGGGGGAGAGAGATATTGAGGAGAGAGAGAGCAGGAGATACTGGGGAGAGGGGGGTGTATGGAGGGAAGAGAAAGATGAAGAGAGCAGGACAGAAGAGAAGAGCAGAAGGAGACAGTGAAATGTGTGCATTCATTTCAGTTTACTGACACACACACACACACATACACACTCTGTCAGTCACAGGTTCATAACCCTGTTTATTCTCTTCACAGCTGCTTGTAGTTCTCTGATAGAGGATCATTGTGTTTAATAACTGTCTGGTTATTTGATATCGACTGTGACGCGGCTGAATGTTGATATTTCATCAGATGTGAAAGGTAGAACTAGAGATAGAGCAGGAAAACCCAGAATAAGAATACGAAGGAAGTGGATCACATGACTTCAAATCAAAATCAGGATTATTTCAAACTTTTACCTCAATTACAATTAATGATCGATTACTTTGGTGTGTGTGTGTGTGTCTCTGTGTGTAATCTCTCTCTCTTTTTTAACCATGCTCTCTTCATATTCTTCAGTGTGATTGTGTCCAAGTGATTAAACAAACTGTTGGTGTGACCTCTGGTCTCTATCCATGTGGCATCCACCACTTTCTGGTGTTCGTGACTGATAAGACCAAATCTTTAGATCATGCGACGCAGCCATGAAGCGAGAGACAAAATGAAAACCAAGACGTTCCACAGCCACGACACAGACACTAAGATGGCTTCTTATTTCTACATACTAAAACCCTTTTTCATGTACTAGTATCATCTTGATTACTGTAACTTCCTGTTCCCAAATGTTTGAAAGAAAAACTTGAACTGCTTCAGCAAAAAGGATTCTTACATGAACAAAAACCATAGCTCTTTAATTTGTTCTGTACAGTGCAACATTCAGGGAAATCTTTGTCTTTATCAGCCTTCTTCAGAAATGATCCAGTTTGTTCAACTTTTTCTGAAGGAGCACTCTGAACCTTTCATCCTTCATACAGCAGACATGTTTATCATGCCTGTTATTAAATCTGACATTTCACATCACAGTTGATGAACAAATACTGTTAAACTGCTGTAAGACTAGTGTGATAGTACTGTGAATAATACAGCATTTCCTAGGTACGGTGTATTGAAAAGAGGAGACATTACTAAAGTTGGATATTTATAAAAACAAAAATAACCTACAGACAAAAATCAGTAGCCCTTTTCCAAACAGTTTCCAATCAAGACTTCCCAGATGTTGTGTGTAACAAACCATCTGGCTGGTCAGGTTCTAATTCTGCTGTCAGAGAGCGGCATTCAGACACTCTCACAGTTTGACAAGCACTTTGTTTAAAGCAGACTGAGGCTTTTACATAATCGCTTCCTGTGGTCGCATGCAGCCACTGTACAGACTTTACCTCAGACAGTGGAGAGCTCTTTCAATATGTATCTGCCTGTGTGACGTGTGCTGAGGTCTCTGTAGCTGTGCATTAAAATCTCATTAGGATATATTACAAACATTTTCTTTATGTTTGAAGTCTTCTGTTGCATTTTTAGATCATTTTCTAGTTCTGTCGACAAGAAAAATGTATTTTTCTCCATATATGAGAAATTTAGCATTTTTCTGTTGTGTATAGTCGATTTTTTGTTTTATAAAAGATAAAAAACACAAAGACACTTTGTTCCAGAGGCCTCCAGGGACCCTTGATCAGGTCGCAGGCAAGATGAAGAATCAAACTGGTCATAACTTCATCTTTAAGACATGTCCTGTGACTGAACCTGTGTAAAATGTCCCATCCCTAACTGCTCCTTATCCCTTCTTCTGCTCAGGTGTTCCCACACCAACGGAGGAGGTTCTGCACCACACGCTAAGCATGCTGGTCCGTGAGCGGAAGATCTACCCAACACCTGAGGGATATTTTATCGTAACGCCTCAGACTTACTTTATCACTCCGAGCCTAATCCGAACCAGCTCCAAGTGGTACCACTTAGACGAGCGATCCGTCGAGCGACACCAGCAGCAGCAGCATCAGAACCAACAGCAGCATCAGCAGACGCAGTGCACCTCCCCGCTCTCCGGCACCATCACCCCGTCCACCTCCGGAGGCGTGCGAGACCGAACACACCAAAAGTCCAGCCAAAACCACAGTGGGGGAGGCGGAGGAGGTGGGGATTCTTTTTACAACAACGCTTACCGTGGAGACGACCCCCCAAGTCACCACACCACCCTGCAGCGCCGTTCCCCCAAAGACCACCGAGAGGCGTACTCGTCCCCACATTCCCCACAAACACCTCCTCAGCAAACAGGAGGCACCACAGAGAAGAGCCGCAGCACCCTCGGGTTCCCCTTCAAGACGGACACGCTCACCAAGCACCGAGGAGGGGGAGGTGGCGGGGGAGGAGGGGGAAGTGGGGGAGGAACTGCAGAGATAGAGAAACAAGCCAGTGGAGGAAGTGGTACAGGAAGTCGAAAGTTTGGTTTGAAGCTGTTCCGCCTGAGTTTTAAGAAGGACAAGGCCAAGCAGCTGGCCACCTTCTCTGCACAGTTCCCGCCTGAGGAGTGGCCTCTGCGCGACGAGGAGGCGCCGAGCCAGCTGCCACGCCACGTAGAGATGGAGATCATCCGCAGGATCAACCCCGACCTTACTGTAGAGAACCTCGCCCGGCACACGGCAGTCATGAAGCGTCTCGAAGAGGAGCGTGCTCAGAGGAGCAAAGCATCATCAGCCAATCAGAGCTCTAGGAGTAGGAGAAGCGGGGGAAGACACAGGAAGCAATCGCAGACCAAACTCAGCCGTTCACATAGCAAGACGAGGGCGTCCCGTGGTGAGCCGAGTGACGGCTCCCACCTGGAGCTGGCCGACAGGGACTATAGAGCCTACTCGTCCTCGCTGGCTCGGTCGCCAAGGGAACACGCCCTGGCCATGGAGCGGCAGCGGGCCCGGCTTCACCTGGCGCACAGCAACCCCAACATCCTTGATTCCTCCCACCTGCCTGTCACACCAGAGTGGGATGTGTCTGGAGAGCTCGCCAAGCGACGCACAGAAATGCCTTTCCCTGAGCCAAGCCATGGCCCATCAGCCCACCACTCCAAAGTCCACCGCTCGCACTCCCACACCCAGGAGAGGAAGTCCAGGAACGAACGCAGCGACAAGGCCAAGGAACGTTCCAGATCCATGGACAATTCTAAAGGACCGCTCGGAGCCGGGTTGATTGGACCCCCCGATTACTATGACGACCGGAGCCGTTACTACACTGACGATGGCACCCTGCGAGCCAATCAGAGCTCTTCTCACTATTCTCGTGCCACGCCCCCCTCGGCTAAACTGCCTGGGGATTCTCTGGGGTTGGATGGCGGCAGGAGCTTAGAAAAGAGTAAGAGCAGGGACAGCCTTCCTGCGTACTCACCCAAACCACTGCCCACCTCTGTACCTCCTGATGATTACTTCCAGTGCTCTGGTTCCTCTGAGGCTGTTCTCACAGCAGCAAACCCGCTGGGAACTCTGGGTAAAAGTAGCCATGATGGATTAAAAGTAGGCAACACTGACAGGCAAACAGACAGACAGACACCCCACCCCCAAGAAAATAAGGAGGACTTAAAGGTGGGACCTAAGGGTGGCAGCCTGCCTCCTATACCTCTCTCTATCCCCGACCCCCCCCTCCCTAATGGACGACCTCCCCACAGTGCCTCCTCTGGGCAGGAGAAACGTAAGGAGATCTTTAGCAAAGACACACTCTTCAAACCTCCTCCGAGCCTCCCTCTGCCCGGCTACAGCTCCCTGAGAAAACCGCCCGCCCTTGCCTCCTCTACTCTGTCCTCGTCTTGCGATGCACTTGATTCCCAGGAGGCCTTTGATGCTCCCAAACCTCTGGTGGCCACACCATCTGCCCCCCCACAGGGGACCGAACCCACTACCAGTGCTGCAGAGGCCTCCTTCGACTATTACAACGTCTCAGATGACGATGAACTTGATGAGGGAGGGACTAAAAGTCGAGGGGAGAATGAGAAGGCCGGAGGAGGCGTGGTTGGGATTGGAGGGGGTGGAGCAGGCACCATGCAGTGGCTGCTGGAGAGAGAGAAGGAGAGGGACCTACAGAGGAGGTTTGAAAGAACCCTCACCTTCCCTGGTGCTAAAGAGAACCTTCCCGAGTCCAGTCAGAACCAGCAGTCAGCCCACTCTGCTAGACTGGACAGTATGGACTCCAGCTCCGTCACTGTTGACAGTGGATTCAACTCTCCACGGTGAGAACATGTACACTGAACAAAACAATACCAACTTCAACAGTAAGACAAAGACAGTCACACAAAGTAAAAAGATCATTTATTGTAGACCATACTCAATGTTTTCACTTTGTTACAACTTCATTTTTTCATTTGGAAAAAGCTAATATTTGCCATTAAATCTAAGTATAGTTTTACTTTTGAATGAACTAATTAAAAGAGTCAAAAATTTTCTCAAGTTAGATTTCTGATTCAGTACATACTTCAAACTCTAATTATACTCTAGTCAATATGTTTTCCTTTGTCACAAGCCAAAACGTTACTTAATGCCAGTCAGTGTTGTGCATGAACATGAACGTGTTCAATGAAACAGTGAACGCTGAACTGAACAAATCAGTTTACAAATGTTGAACGTGAACAAATCTACTACTGCTGAAGCCAGTTTGTTTGAGCATTTGAAGCAGTTTTATGAACAAACAAGTGAAGACTCAGACAGATTATATTTATATACGGATTTTAAATGTAACTCATGTCTGTGATTCTTCAGTGGTGTTCAGTAATTCATTTAGTTTGGCAATGATTTGGGGCTGGTGATGGATGGGTAGAAGGAGGTTCCATTGGAAAAGAATATTGGCCTTTATTTATTTAAAAAAAAACGGAACAAATTGAATATGAGCTAGTTCATTTTTGGAACTGTGAACTATGTTCAAGATTTAAAAAAATTAACTATGAACCTGAAGTAGTTCATTTTCATCTGTATGAACTGAACTTTGAACTAGTTCTTTTTCAAGTGTGAACTGGCACAACACTGATGCCATTCAATGTATAAACATATATACCAAAGCTTAATTTGCTATAATCTAAAAAAAGAATTTTCACTTCAGATGAA